TTTTATTTTGCTTAGCCAAATCACTTCTTTTTCATTCATTTTGTTTCCAAGTAGTTTAAAGGGTCAAATCAATCCTATTTTTTCAGCCAATTAAAGTCAGTTGTCATGCGTAAGAACCACCCCAGCAAATGTGACTTGAAAGTATCAGGAAACAGGTACTTACCAATATTCCAGGGATCATGGGAGGTTCGGATGGAGTGAAGTCCGAGATGATACCTTGCTGGAATAGTAGAAAACATGGCATGGAAAATGAATCAAGTTCAAGCAAATAACCTCGATTGGAAAAAAAAATAAATAAATAATAACAACTAAGAGTTTCCCCACAGGCAATTTTAATCGTCCCAGTAAAAACTCTAGAGTAGGCACTGTATGTTAAATTTCATTGACTTACCTAGATAATAAAACCTTCTATGATATAAATACCCAGTGCTTACCCCGCGAGTCTTGTTTCCAGGAGTTCCAGAGCCTACAGGAACACAAGGCAATGGCATCTGCTCCTTACAGTCTGGGTGACACACACACCGACAATCTGGACACAGACAAAATAGCATTATGAACTTAAACATTCATAAATAATTAAGGATAGTAATCCGTTACAGCAGAGAGGAAGATGATAACAGAATCTCATATAATTAAATTTCAGTTGTCTGAGAGAGAGAAAGAGAATAATAGTGAAAATCTCATCAAATGCATGAGAGAGAGAGAGAGAGAGAGAGAGAGAGAGAGAGAGAGAGAATGTAAAATAACAAACCTTTGCACTTCAGACCAGGCTTTCCAAACATAATCCTTTTTCCACACTAAAATGACAAAATTTAAAACATGTATCAGTTCTCTATAATTGAAATTTATTTTGGTCTTATTTGAAAATATTCCAATCCAACTGTCAAGTTGTTATTTTTCAATGGAATGGCAAAGTTTACATCAACAACCAGAAAATATAACAAGTATAATGCATAATTCCACAAAGCAACATGACATCTATCCATCCAAACAAAATATAAAACAAAAGCAATCAGTAAATTTTAAAACAAATAACCAGTAAGTGTTCCACGAGTAGTCCCCTTTGTTCACAAAGTTGACAACCAATCAACTAAATATGTTTCAAAATGTTTTTCCCCTTTCCATTTTTTTTTCATTTCATATTTTCTTTTAACTGCACAATAATTTGTCAAGTACTTACTGGTGTGCAGGTCTCTGGCTTCACAAATGTCTTGGTGGCAAAAGAGTGGCCTCGGTTCCCGAAAGGTTTGCTGCCAGAGTTGAAGGTGCGCAGTGCTGGAGACCCTCTGAAATCAATGATTTTTTCAGTTTTAATAAGTTAATAGAAGCATAACCACATGTTAAAAAACAAAAATAAGCAAATAAATCATGGACTGTAACCTTACACTAAATTGACGCTGGGGTTATGCTAGCAATTTTTTTCCGCTTAGCCAAATCACTTCTACTTAAAGTTTTTCATCTCTTTCTTCTCCAAATGGTTAAACTTGACTAAAACAAGCCAAATCAACTCAATTTTTCTTAGCCATTTCAAGTCAGTTTTGGCACTGGGATAAATAAACCAGTGTTGGGGCTACCCCAGTGCCTCTAAGAGTCCTGCTCTGTTCTCACCTGGCCGCTGGTGTTCTGGGTGTGTTCTCAGCACTGTTGGGCTTTCTACCATAATATGATTCCCCATCAGAGTCCACCTCATCTGAGGAAAAGTAGCATACAGTAAGTAAATCCAGTATACCATTACTTATACAATACAATCTTTCATTTTCTGCAATTGCCTTTTTTGAAATTCACTTTTTTGCCCCAACAGGTAGTAAATCATCAAGGAAAACAAAGGCCCAAACTAGACTAAATGTTCCAATATATACAAACATCAAAGATTGGAGTGGCAAAATGTCATTGATGCGAAAGAAACTACACTATCATATACAGCTCTTCATACAAAAACAAAAAATTAGTCAAATATGAACAAAAGATAACACTGATGGGACTGTAAATCATTTAGAAATTATACAAAAACAGGCCTCACCAAATCTCAACTGGTTCTCAGAGAATGACTTCCTCAACACTCTCGTCTCTGTCTTGTGCTTGGGGAGGTTGCTGGTCACCTCACACGTGGCATGATCGCCTCTCGGATCCACGCGAATAGTGGCAGTGATGGACGTGTCTGCACGGCCTCCATGGGAACTCTTCTTGCGCTTGGTGTGCTGGCGGTGCTCCTCCTCAATAGGTGGCGCTGATGCACGCTTGAATTTCCTCCCGCTGCGGAGGTAGGAGATGTCCAGGTCCTCCTCTGTTTTGTCATAGCTGATGTCGGAGGGAGAGAGGACGGAGCCCGAGGATTCATTGATGGTTTCAAGTCTGGAAGATTTTTAACATACATAAAAATAAAGCCTTTAATATACAGACTTTCATCTCTGTTTGATCACATTAATTCATTGCATGGCAAATCTTAATGTTTGGAAAACTGAAAACAAAACTGAATCTGATTTCAAGTGACTGAGTGAACAGGGCAAGTGCATATATAATTTGACTACAGGCACTACGCCGCACTAGTGATGGCTTAATGTCACAACCCGGGTCCTTTTTAGCACAATTTTGCATGAATATAAATACTGAAACATTTCACCTGGGTCTAAATACAACTTCATTGGCTTCAGTTGTTGAAAATAACATCTAGCATTAGACCGCAATCATCTTTTCCAGTGTAATCACTTAATTCATTAATTTCACAGCAACCAAGCCCCCATCCACCCACCTTTTGCTTGGACTACCCTCCATGTGAGAGCCCTGGCACGTGCTGAGGAATGCGAGCTTCTCTCGATCCTGGTCATTCAGCATGTTGGAACTTTTCTTGTCATTCAGCAGCTCTCTGATCAGGGCAACCTGGCGCTCCTATTGAATCCACAAAAAATATGAAAAATTACGAAAATAGGAAAAAAATGTGAGTGAATATATTCAGATCAATTACAAAAAGATTGTTGAAAACCAAAGAAGCACCAACATATAAAATCACTTGCATTGCTGTATACATTTTTAAATTTACAATATTACAAAAAAGTTCTGCTTAAAAACTTCTTATCAATGTTATTCCAAATGCCATCAAGATGTTAAATGCCAACCTTATGCTAAAGAAGGAAATTTTTATGTCAAACAATTCAGATAACTGGCTAACAATAATGTAAAATACTTTGGATTTATCTTTGAAAATGAACTTGTATTCTTTTTCAAAAAACAATTTCTAACTGTCTAAAACAAAGCTGCAGCTAAATCTTACCAAACTGTCTCTGTCAGATTCTGCTTTGGTTCTTTTCTTCATTTCATGTTCTATCTGGCTCCTAAAATATCAAGAAAATTTTAAACAGTTTTTAAATTTATTGGCAAGGTCTTCATCATCATCATAAGGATAGGCATCAATCACCCTCATATTCTCACACTAACACTAAGGCACCTTTGTGAGATTCACATCTTGGAAAAAACAATTCAAAACATGGCAATAGGTTATGTCTAGGTTACACTCTTAGAGTCTTAGACTAATAAATAAAGGTTTTGAATCTACTGCTTTTGATTCCTAAACTAAGACATATACCAAGCCTCTTATATATCACAAAATTTTTCACTGTTGTATGGAATCAAAACTTTGAAAACTTAATACAAATTCACATTCTTTTACCTGGCATGTTTGAGCTTTGTCTCCAGGGCATTGGTCTCTGTCTCCAACTTTCTGATTTTATCATGCAGCTTCTTGGAGTGTTGTTCTGCCTCCAGCCACTTTTTGCGGCATTCTTCTTGATTTCTTGCAAAAGTTATAAACTCTGGAAAAAAAATTAAAACGGTGTAATCGAAGAAAAGATGAATGAAACTCTTATTTTAGTTATACTTTAAATATTATTATATTTTAATTATCTTTTCTAAAGTTTATGCACTTAAAAAGGGAACACACTGGTCTTGCTAATGGCTAACTATGGAACATGCTTTGAAAATTGAAGTGAGAAATAAAATCCAACCAGATTTGCTTTTTATTTTTCATTATTATTATTATTATTATTTTTTTTTGGGGGGGGGAGGATGTTCAAGATCACATGCTTCACATACTTCAATTTCAATTTCTAGAACACTGAATGTTGTCATCTCACCTCCTTCAATCCCACTAGTCAGTACAGTGGTATTTCTGACCAAGTCATCAAAGGCCGCCACAAGAGACAGCCTGCTCGACGACTCCATGATTCCAAAGTGAAGTATTATTAATCTGGAGATAGATTAAACTGCATTTATCATCCTGTCAACACAGAATGAGATATATTTACCCTGACAATTTTATCATATCAGTTTAACAAGATTTGAAAACAATTTAAGATTTCCTCGTCTAATATTTTTTTCTTACTCTGTTTCGTTTCCTCAGGCTGTTGTTATCAACCATTTTCAGCCGGTTTTCATATTTCTCATTCAAAATCTCATTTGGATACTTTAATCAATCCGTAATCATGCACAAAATAAATAGAACATCCTGAGTGCCTTACCTTTAATTAGTGATCTGTTGCTGTCGGTTTTAAAAGGCTACTTCTTCAATGTTTTGTCTATTATTATTTTCAAAGATCAGTCCCTCTTTCTTCAGACAGAACTGTTCAAATTTTGCGCGTCAGCCAATGAGATTGCAGCTACAGACCACGTGACTTGCTGATAAACATTGCCTCCAAAATTAGGAGAACTCTCTACTTCCGGCGTAATGTAGCGGCATTAAGTGGTACGTGCTTTGTTAAACATTATGCGGCTTTATGCTGTTTTTAAATAACATACTTAAAATTCTCCATTTTATTGATTTGCGGAAACGCCCTTGATTTTACATTTTTACAGTCTTGTCATACCTAAACGTCACATAAAACTGTTAAATACTATATTCCACCCGGCGTTTTGCCAACCTCATAAATGATAGTCTTTATTACTTTTGTCATTTTGTTTTGAGTAAATTAAAGAAACGAATATTGTCTCAAGTGGTTAAGCCGAGTTTTGTCATAAAGAAGCCTCATTTTATTAAGGATGTGGGAATTTATAGCCCTGAGAGTTTGTAACACAGGGCAGTGTGAAGTTAACCTAGGGTAAGGCATTCCGCCTAGCATGTAAGACTGAAAACTGAGACAGATTCAAGATTCTGATCACATTTTTATGAAAATATACGCTTATAGTTTTGAGCTATACATGTTATCTGTTTTTTCCTTACCTGTCACCTTAATGGCAGTGAAGAAACTGAAAAGAATAAATAATATTCTATAAGAATAATTTTTTTGTTTTCAATTAATAATTTTTGGTTTGTGATTTTATTTATTTCATAATAGAAAAACAAAATTATTAATAAAAATAATCAAGTGTGTAACTTTGTCCACAGCAACAGGTTCAACACTCATATGGATGACCCAGTAACTACCCAGTGACTCCCAATGACTACCCAGGCTGGAGAGAAAAACATGAGCAGCATGAAGTCCCTCCTGATGAGGGCGTGGAGGGAGAGGTGGTCAGACATACAGTGGGGTATCACTGTGAAGAGGCTGCTCACTCGCTTCGCAGAGGCCGAGATGTGTAATTTAGCTGGTGAGTTTAATCAAGGGGGTTGAACTCCCAAGACGTAAATTCATTGTGTTTATTGATAAATTTGTCATTTTGTCTCACAGTACACTTTGAATGATATCTGCAAGGAGTAACTACATATCTTGTCTTTCTTCATCCCAAATGTGTGAATGAAATATATCACAGTTGCTCAGCTTAATTATGCCCCAATTTAATCTAGTGTGTAGCAAAAGGTTCATTAAATTTAGCTGGTGAGTTTATGTGTGGCAGTTTTTTTATAGCAGAGGAAACAATTGGGCTAGTACAAATGTCACCTAGGCTAGTAATGAAGAATATTGTCATGAGTGGTGTTGTTACATAACATTACATATGATATTTATTTGTTCTATTATATAATTTATTTTATTTGTCTATTTATTTTGTGAGATTTTAAAAGCAGAAACATAAATTTGACAAAACAATTTTTTTTACAATTTCAGTGCATTTTTAATCAAATTACCTAAATTTTTCCCCTTTATTTTCAGACTTGATCCTCCAGCAAGCTTTGGTGGGAACCAGCCCCAACACCTTGGTGCTCTCATATCTCAAACATGTGCAAAGCACTCAGGTATTTATGAATTCATTTCTTCATTAAAAAGTACAAACAGAAAGTTTTCCCTCTTGTTTGAATCTCAGAATACCATTTCTGTCATTGTTTCACCAAGAAGGATCCATTCTATTCTTCTTCCTGAAATTGTGAATTTATTTATTTGAGCCACTGCTCCTACTCCCACTAAGAGTGAAAATATAATATTGGGAATTAAACCTTTAATTGATGTACTTGTTCATTTCAGCAGTTTTAACTGTTTGTTTATGACACTATGATTTGCATACACAACTTTTGGCAATGCAAAACTATTTGTTATACTTTTTGTGAGCATCAAAACAGTTATTAAGTGTGTTCTTTAATTGAAAATGATGAAAAAATTTATGTTCAGAACAGTTTGACTGGGCACAGTTTCATCCTTATTTCAGATCATCACAACAGCCAGCGTGTTAAAGAGTGTCATGAAGTACGAGGATTTGGCACGCCCGTATTGTATAAAAAGTTTGCTGGAGCTAGTGACTGGGATGTTGGCCAAAATAAGGTGAGACTGTGTTCACATTTCAGAGAAATAGGGATATCTATTCTCATACAATTCTTCATTCTGTAACTAGGTAAGAAGACCTAGTTACAGAGTGAAAAAAGTGCCTATTCTACCCCAGGTTTCATGTGTTGAAGCAGAATAATATGTTAGACAGGAAAAGAGAAATTCAGTTACCTTATTTTACAGAAACTGTGGATAAGCATTGAAATGTGTTAATCTTGCAGGGTTCACCAGTAAAGACAGAAGACTTAACTTCTCTTTTATGCATTTTTTTTCTTTTTTTTTGCTTCGGAACTTTACCTGTCAAATTTAGAAAAATTGTTTTCTTTTCCAGCTCACATGCGTATTCAGAAGACTCGATTGCTCTGTGTAAGACTCTGCAGCAGACAGTCAACTGGGCATTACAGCTTGCTTACCGTGGCTTGCAGAGCCTACAAGATAACAAGCAGGCAGCAGAGTACCTCGCCATTGTGGATAGGTCATGTGACTTGGTTGCCATGGTGATGAAAAGTGAATCCAGTAAAGCGTTGATGTATATTGCAAAGTTTGAGGATTCAGGTATTGGATTTAAAATTTTGTTAAAGTTTTGATTTTGGTTATAAAGGGGAAATAAGTTATATATTTATATTGAGAACATATAATATCTGATCTAGATTGTGACTACGTATATTTGGGTCAATTTATCATCTGAAGGTGTACATAGTTACTAATAGAAATTCATTGGCTATAACAAATTTATTTGTTGTTCTACTTCAATTTCTTGCTGTTATGGCTAAAGAAATATTGATTTTCTTAAAAATAAAAACTAATTGGTAAAATCAATTTATGGTAGCATTAGCCTTATTGAGTCAATATGTCTTAACTATTTTCTGACACAACTGAAGAAAAATTTTATTTTCATAATATTTGTCAATATTGATCAAATAATGGTAGTCCCTAGATCTGAGGAAAAACATAACACATTGTCAAAAGATCAGACTACGTATTTTGCATGTTTTCAGAGTCAGCCAGACAACTTGAGCAGACAGAAATGAATGTCCGTGGCGTTTTCAACCAACTTCAGCCGGCTTGTATCACTGTGCAGCTGAAAGAAAAGGTGGAAGGCATATTGAAAGGGATTGAAAAGTGGGTGATGTAGCTTGAGTGTAGATTTTGTTTTTCAAAAAATAAGGAAAGCTTTTGTTTTTCAAGCTGTTCATCTTTGTCCTTTTGGATTACAGCATTTTGATATTTGTATGCAAGTTGGTAGAGAAGGAAGATGTAGAAACTGAATATATTTTAGATTTGTTAATTATTTAGGGACTTGATTTTATTAACTTAAACATTGGGAAGATACTGCAAAACTTTCATTAAAACATAAGTCGGTTTTCTTCATTTTTTGCACATTAGGATAAGATCATGAATTAAATAAATTTCATTTTTTTTTTTTGCATTAATTATTATTCTTATTTCAAAGAGAAAAATAACATTTAAAGATTTTGATTCATTTTAGCATTTATGTTATCCCCACAACCCTGCAGCCATCTGTTTCCATGACAACAAGATCAGTCCTGAGCACAGTCAGCGTCATGCTGAACATCGAGGCAGTTCTCAATCCGACCAATGATGTGCGTCCTATCATGGAGCAGTTGATCTTGTTGGAACGAGCCAAGGTAAAATGGAATGAAATTCACTAATTGTTTTCTTTGGAGAATGAAAAGTGAAAAAATTTTTAAAAAAGAGCTGTCAAACTCATTATTCATTGATGTGATTGCTATTAAAATTTTATGCTGTCAAACATCACTTACTGGATTATAAATTGATTAGACTTGGTCAAAATGATCTGATGCAACAGAGGTTAAGTACTAATATTTGAGTGGGCATGTGGCATGGTTACAGATTTGTACTGTCTCCAGTTAAGTTTCTTCATTATTTCATTTTAGCACTTTTATTGAAACCAAGTGAATTTTCTCACCCAATGAGTAATAAATTATTCCTTTCCTCCTTTAAGTGAATTATTTCTCATTGTAGAAGGTAGAGCGTACAGACCTCTACTGCCTGATATTGCGGGCGTGTTTCATGGGGATGATAGACTCTAAAGATGGAACAGAGGAGTTGAAGTGGGCTGCTTTCACTTATCTTAAGGTATTTATTTATTTATTTATTTATTTATTTATTTATTTATTTATTTATTTATATTTTGTATTGGTTTATTGTAATAACCTAGCTATGAAGTTTTGCAGATTTTTTTGCATGTGTTTTTTTCATGTTTTTTTTTACATGGAGCCTTGAGATCTATTACTCAATTTGCATCCATGTGTTTAAAATTTTATTATCACATATTGTTCATACTCTTGAATATGTAAATTGAAATGAAGGAGAATGAATAACAAAAATATAGGAATTGGAGCATAATGTGTTGAAGAGAAGAAATGAGAATGATACATGTGTCATAAAATTTTTTTTTGCACCAGTTGGTGAGTTTAAACTGTTACATTTCTATATTTTGCACATTTTTAGCTGCCCCTCTTGTTTGCCAAGTTTTCCCAGAAGTCTCCACTGCGGGACTGCAGTAAGGATTTAGAGACGGCATTTGAGAAATTCCTTAATTATGTTCCCCTACTGGACTTAACAGATTCCAAGTGCAAGTGAGTTTATTTTATCTTGTATTTCTGGTTCCACTCAACATTTGAAATGTTGTTAATGTACTTAATGAACTCAACAAAATAAGAAGAAAAAACACATATGAAGTGATTTATAAAAACAATTTTATAAGTGAAGAAAAATTTTCTTCGCACAAACATGATAAGATGTGCCATATGCATGACACCAGAAATTATTCCCAGTAATTAGTAAAAAAATCTGCTATTTTTATTTTCTTTCAGTTGTGACTGTTTGAGTTTGTTCCTGAAAAAGCTGTGTACACACGGCTTGCTGTCAGACGCTCAGTGTAAAAAGTTGTTGGCCAAACGGTAAGGGGATTCCTGTTGTAAAACAAGGGTTTTGGTGGATGAAGTGTGATTAGGGAAAGGGGGGGGTACAAAAATCCTTTCAATGTTTTTACATTTTGATGTATGTTTAATTGCGAAATCTCTACAAAGGACTTCACGATGACATTTAATATCAGTAAAGTCCACCAAATGATTTTTCAAATAAGTTATAAACAAAATATCCCAAATTTAGTGTAAAAACATTGAATCAGGTGAAAACTTAAACTGATGATTCTTTTTTTGCCTTCTTGTTCTTAGGATGAAGGACACCCAGAAACCAAAGACGCCTGTCCAACAAAACCAGCAACCCAGTGCTAGCCTCATCTTGAGAGCTGAGCCCACTGTGGCTAGCATACTCAAGGTACAGCTATATAATATCCTTCAGGTGATGCTGGCTTACTGTATCAGTGTGCTGTGTGTATGCAGTGGAATAGATTTGAAGTGGGGTGTGGATGGGGGTTGGGGGGGGGGGTTGTGGTGTGAGTGTACTCAGAGTATGGCACTATAATATCCTTTGGGTGATGCTAGCTTACTGTATCAGTGTGCTTTTGTGTGCTGTAGAATAGATTTGTGGTAGAGGGGGGATGAAGGGTCACAATATACATTCTCAGGGTTTGGCTTTATGATAGGTCTTCAGTTGAAGCTAGTTTATTGTATCATTGTGCTGTACATGTGCAGTGGAAGACTGCGTTTTCTCAGAAATCTCAGCTCGAGGAGGGGGAGGTTTTGCCTTCAGTCTAGTCTGGGCACTGCTACATAATGAACTTACATACTATAAATATGATAGATAAAATTCTGTAAGTTGTGGACAAATTTTGTTTTTTCTAAGGATTGGGGGGGGGGGGTGGAGGCCAGAGTACAGGGTGAGAGGGGGGGGGAGAGTTGGTTTTTTAAGGNGGGGGGGAGGCCAGAGTACAGGGTGGGAGGGGGTGGGAGAGTTGGCTTATTAACTTGGTACAGGCAAAATGCTTCCTTGAAGTAAAACTTTTCTTTTGTTTGTCTTTTCTGTTCACCCTCTGGTCTTAATAGCTAGTTTTATCTATTAGCATGAGTCTGCAGTGGAGTGAGACACTTGGTAGTTAACTATTTTGTTGCAATTATTTTTACTTCAGAAAGTTATCATCCTTCATCAATGTTATATAAATTATAAGGAATGAGTTGGTCTTATCTTTTAGTGCCATCTATCCAAAGTTTGGTAGTGTAGTGTAATCTATCCTAACATTAAAGCTGCAAGATAGGACTAACTGAAGTAGATTTGATGTGATGCCAGGTGTTGTCAAGAGCAGACCCTTACCTTACAATAGGGACTTCTTGCATGCATTATTTGTGTAATATTTTTGCTGTAAAGTTTATCCATACAGAAAGCACTTTCATGTTATTAATTATTAGTTAGTTAATGTTTGTACTGAAATAACAGCATTCTTTTAAGCTGTCTTAATTGCCAAGCTTTATTTTGATTGCCAGACTTTAGTTGAATTTTATTTTATATCCAGCAGAAACTAATACAACAGTAACCAATAAATACAATGTTTGCAAATCATGACATAGTGCATTGCTTTATTTCAGACATGACATAGTGCATTGCTTTATTTCAGACATGATCATCATTATTAAGACTTTTGTCTGGCAGAATTCTTTTTTTTTTTTTTGCACCTCGGGTGCCACATTTGCAGAATTATTAATTTCCTGAGATGGTAGGCCTATTATTCACTTTAAAATTGTTGAAATTAGACATATTTATGTATTTATTTGTTATAACCAGACTTTGGACGCTGACTACTCCAAGAGCCAAGAATCTCTACTGGGTATACTATTCCACATGTTGTCTGGGAGGAGTTTTGAACTGATACTAGCTGCTGCAGCTGCCACAGGGAAACTGCAGAGTTTTGCTATGAAAATGATCAAGTGAGTGTTGAAATCTTGTTTTTATTTTTTGAAACAGTTTATTGACCTATTTGTAATAATATTGGTGGTAATAAACTTTATTTAGAGTGGATTAAACATGTTTAGTGTATACACTTATCTTACACATGGTCCTCAGTTTAATTGTAAGGGGAGAGGGGGGGGCTTGTGGGATTTCATTGTAATGGCTTTAGGGTCATAAGAAGATTTATTGTGGAAAAAAATATCTAACCTGTATCAAGTAAACCACATATCTATGCTGTATATAAACCAGACGCATAGGAAAAATATTGATTTATTTCCTACATTGATTTATTTATTTCCTATCTGCTTGATTTTGTGTTCCAGGTTTAACGAGTTTGCCAAGCAGGCGAGTGGCGACACAGACCAGGCCGCGCAGACGACAGCTCTCTTGTTTGATATCACCTTCCTGATGGTGTGTCACATAGCACAGTTATATGGATCTGAGGTAGGTCTGGGTGGCCTTTTCTCCCTTCCCCCCCCACCCAACCCCCCCCCCCCCNTGTGTATATTTGCAGTGCCAGCATACAGTGGGCCTTTAAAAAGGTACAAATGGGTATAAGATTTTTCTTTTCCCCCCCCCCCCCCCCCCCCCCCCCCCTCCCAACACACACACACACACACACACACACACACACACACACACACACACACACTTAATTTCTCTCTCAATTTTGGAAGGGAAATAAGGAAAATATTTCACTGAAATCTATGTCTAAGTTATTGGTTTCACTGAGTATTTTGTTTCAAGATTGGAGTGAACATGAAATTAAATGGCACATTTGTCAAATGTAAACCGACAGTAGTTACTTTGTTTTTCTCAAATATCAAGTCTCAAAATTAATAACTTGCCCCATTTGTACCTGGGTAACCTACTTTTTGCTTCAAAGTGACTGTCATATATGGACATTTTGATTGACACTTTGGTTTACGGATATTTTTTTTTAACACGAGAAAAATTAAATGTTTTTAATTTTTTTGTTCATTCTATTTATATATTATGTACGCACATTTAAATAGAATTTTTTTTCATATTTATATTCATAACATTTTCAATACACAGATAATCAGCTCCAACATAGAATGTTCGGACTCGTTCTTTGCGCAGTGGGTGAAGCGCTGTCTGCCGGAGGATGGGAAAGCCAAATGCCTGGACAACAACAGCTTTCAGCCAGACCCCCTGAAAGTGGAGTCCCTGCTGCAGCAGTTTAATGCTGGAGGGGAGCTGAAAACAAGGTAGGGGACTCAGGGTGCAGGTGAAGGATTTGAAGACCCCCCCCCCTCATTTGACCCTGAATAACCCCTTTTCTGGACAATGCCCCCTACCTTTAAAAATTGAAATGAAAAGATTGTTTAAAGCTTAAGACCTGATAGATCAGCATTTAGATTTAACCTTTTAGTTGTGTTGAAGACCCAAAATGGTGTTGCAAAGCTTTAGTAATTAAAAATCATTTGATTAGTTTATATTTGCATTTGTGTAAATTGTTGTTTCTGTCATACTGTCATTTTTGCCAAGCCACAAATTCTGTTAAAGCATTTAAGTAATCATAATAGAAGCTGAATATGCAATAACTTTTTCATTCCAGCCATACCAAGTGGCAGGACGTGTGTAATAACATTCCCTTCATGGTGCAGGAGGTGTTGTACGCCTGGGAACATGGGGCCATCATGAGAGACACTGTCAGGGTGAGCAACAGTTTAGCTTAAAAACTTGAAGACTACCTTTTTTTGTGTTCAACTATGCAAGAAAAATCCAAATAAGTGGCCTGGAATAAAGCAACTAGCATTCTCAAACATAAGTCATTTGTGATTTTGGATAATAATGGCATATCATGTGCACTTGTCTTCGTTTAAAGTACGCTAGAAAAATATGGGTTAAAAGTAAAGATTATCATTTTTTTATAGAAAAAAATTGCTTGATTGATTGTTTTATTTGTGTACTAAATTTGGGAGGTTGTCATGAGGATGAAGATGCAACATCACCGTAGGATTCACCTATTGATGCTCATCGAAGGCCCAGAAATAGATTAAAAATAATAACAATAAGTATAAAATCATATTGAATATACACATTATATGTTAATAATTTTCAGACAATGATGGGTAACATCAAGTCCAAGCTGTGTTGTCTCCCAGTGGTGGTGGTGTCATGGCTGTGTACACACATCAGTTCTCTGAACAGTACAGCCAGAATGAAACCTCTCCAGATGATAGATATGTTACAGCAGCCCGTGGTTCACTCCCAGACACCAGATACTGCCAATCAGTATTATAGTGAAAGGTTAGGATTTTGTGGGACTTCAGAGATGTTCATTCTGCGATGTGGCTTAGCTAGTGTTGTAATTTATTTTAGGTTATTTTGTATTTATTAATTTTTTTAAAATTTGTTTTGAGTTTCATTTCTTCTAATACACATTACAAATGTAATATTATCTCTTATCATTTATATCTATAAACTGTTGATTCAGTCAAAAACTTTGGACTAATTTGGACTTTAAGTTGCTGAATTATATAGTGTCAGTGAATTATATAGTGCTTATCTATTTGTATTTCTCTATAGTCAAATAACCAATTCGTTATATTTGATAATTCTTAAATATTGATTCATGATCTTCCAATTCAGATCCACTCTCATGAATAACATTATCCTCAAGATGGCCGCGGACTTACTCCCAGCAACGACTAACAAAACCAGCTTGTCTGGTAAATCTGACCTTCACGCGACCTTGAAGCAGACATTCCTGGCCAGTTATCGTAAAGGTTGGCTCAGTATTCAGGCTCTGCATGATTTAGAGCAGCTGTACTGTACTGGGGGTGCCGAGTGGTTCTGTGAAACACTAGTCAAGGT